TAAGTCCACTGGTAGGGGAGGTCCTCCTCCCCTTCCATCTGACCCTAGCCTATCAGGTCTCATCAGGACTAGCTGCAATGTCCTCCTCTGTGGCCTAGAAAGGCTGTTCCTCCCACACAACAAGGACAATTGTTCAACCATGTTCGTAGCAGCTTTATTCATAATAGCCAGAACCTGGAAACAACCCAGATGTCCCTCAGTGGAGGAATGGATGCAGAAATTGTGGTACATTTACACAATGGAATACTACTCAGCAATGAAAAACAAAGAAATCATGAAATTTGCAGGCAAATGGTGGGATCTAGAAAAGATCATCCTGAGTGAGGTATCCCAGAAGCAGAAACACAGACAGTATATACTCACTTATAAGTGGATACTAGACCTATAATATAGGATGAATATACTAAAATATATACACCTAAAGAAGCTAAACAAGAAGGAGGACCCAGGATAAGATGATCAATCCTCACTTAGAAAGACAAATGGGGTGGACATTGGAAGAAGGGGAAAACAAGAAAAAGGACAGGAGCCTACCGCAGAGGGTCTCTGAAAGACTCTACCTAGTAGTGTATCAAAGCAGATGCTGAGACTCATAACCAAACTTTGGGCAGAGTGCAGGGAATCATATGAAAGAAGGGGGAGTTATTAAGGACAGGAGCTCTACAAGGAACAACTATATCAGGACACAGGGGTCTTATATGAGACTGATTCTCCAACCAAGGACCATGCATGGATATAACCTAGAAACCCTGCTCAGACGTAGCCCATGGCAGCTCAGTATCCAAGTGGCTTCCCTAGTAAGTGGAACAGGGACTGTCTCTGACATGCCCAGCCTTTATGAGTGCTGGCATCTGTACTTGGGCCATCATGCTTGCATAACAAGTGCTCTTAACCACTGAGCCATCTCTCTGCCCTTCTTGTTTCCTTAATATTTATTATAAATAAAGGTGCTATGAACCATTTCTAGAATATGGAGTTGATATCTAGGCAACTTCCAAAGGCATCTCAAAAGCATTTAACACGAATTTATAGACTTTACTACATTTGATGTTTCAATCAGTTGCTGCCTTTTTTTCATTTTCATTAGAAATTTGCCCCACTTTTGGCTAGTGGTAACCCCTTAAAGTTAGCTATTTTACCTGTCTGTAGGATTACAGGAATCTGTTAAAATCCTTGCTTTCAGGTACAAAAAGCTATCCCAACGCTGTGTTACTCTTGCCTCAGATCTGAAACCAGCCATTCTTCTAAGCAAACCCTTTTCCTTTTAGTGGGAAAAAGTATTTGAATCTACAAGAGAATCCTAAACACACCATTACTTAGTTATTATTGCTTCACTTTTCCAGTAGCCAGAGTTTAAAATGTGGACTTTAGAGAAGGGGAAAATTACAAATTCACTCTTATTCAACTATAAGGTTTTGACTTCTTTGATTTAGCAAGTAATCTTGGTGTCTAACAACAGTGACATACATAATTATTTATTTGCTTTGTCTATACCAGCAGTTCTCAACCTGTAGGTCACAACCCCTTTGGGGGGCATAAATCAGATCTCTTTCATATCAGATATTTATAACTCATAATAATAGCAAAATTACAGTTATGAAGTAGCAATGAAATAATTTTACGGCGAGAAACTGTATTAACAGGTTGCAGCATTAGAAAATACATATAGGTTTTAAAATAGTAATGCCTACAGCAGCAGTAGCAAGATTATTAACTATGTATAATTTCTTTTCATCCTTTTTATTATTAAACCATATTAGATAAATTCAGCCACAATTTTATTTTACTGCTAAGCAAAGTAAGAGGCTGCAAATCCATATTGATATAAATAAATCAGGAAACGAACACATTGGGAGAAAGGAGATGCCTTTCTTCTTTTCCTTTTTCTTGTTTTTTTGAGACAGGGCTTCTGTGTGTAGCCCTGGCTGTCCTGGAAATCAGTATGTATACCAGACTGCCTCAAACTCAGGGATCCGCTGGATTCTGCCTCTTGAGTATAGGCACATGCCACCATGTCTGGTAGAAATGCCTTTCTTTAAATAAAATAATAATAAAAAAATACAGTAAGAAATGTTGGACTCTGAAAATTACCATTCAGCAGTTTTCATCAACATAATTGATCCAGGTAAGAATTACCAAGAATACTAACTAGACAGGCAAAGTTTGAAGAATGATAGGGTATTTATATATTCTCAAAGTACCCCCCATAGGATACTTACTAATAACAAAAGGGAATAGGAATATTTCAAGGAAGAGGCCTAGAAGAAACTAGCACAGTGAACAATGAGAATAATGGGATAATATAATGGGAACAACATTATTATTATGGGAACAATAATAATAATGCACTAGGCAATAGTGCATCATGTCTGATATGATGCACTGACAAGCCAGTGACACTGTATTGGTATCCATGGCAAAGAGTGCAATCAGATCAAATTATGGAGAAAAGTCCAAGAGACATTATAGAAACTAGCAGGCTTATGCTCTTCAGAAATAGCTCTGGATTCAAGGGTTTCAGTGAAACTAAAAAAGTATCCCAGCTAGTGTGTTCTTGGTTTTATTTTTGTTCTAAAGATACTATTAGGGCAACTGATGAAATCTGTAACAAGGACTGTTAAGTACATAATGGTATTCTTTCAATGTAAATTTCCTAATTTTGATTACTGGGCTGCATAGTGTTGCTGTTTTCTAAGTCTAAAATTATGTCCTGAAACTCCCATACTATTTTCAAGGCACCTAAAGTAACTTTGCCATATGGTTTTGCTTTCATTTTGTCATATAAATGAGGCTCATTTAGTTTAATTAGATTTGTACAGCTTGGTGTTTTAATTACATAGAACTTACCTATACTTCCAAACTCAAAACTATGAAACAAATAATATTCAGAGAGGTCTAGATTTTTTTGTCTTTTTTTACTGCCCCTCAGTATCTCCCTCCTTATTGGTAGAATATTAAGAATAAAAAATAAAATACATAAAAATGCACACATTTCCCATAATGTGCCCTGTAAGTGTAGAGAAGTTTCCTTTCTAATTGCTTCTATTTTCTTAGGGAAATGAAAAGCAACTACTAGGTGAGAGTGGGAAGGAAATGAGGTTGCTGGCAGTTTGAGAAGGTTGAAGGTGTGAAACACTATTTTTAAAGGAGTATAAACTAGGGCAGTGGCTCTCAAATTTCAGCACCCGCATCACGCAGATTTGGGCCTCATTGCTGGATTTTCTGGCTCTTAGGTCTGGATGAGTTTAGAGCGTATACTGGTTGCAAGCTTCTGAACACTATTGATGCTACTGGTTTGGAAGTCATCCTTTGAGAATTACTGGACTAAGGACATTAGGATTCTCATTAAGGACTGCTGGCAGTCCAGGGGGCCCTTAAGTTTTCTGATTGCATGTCTGAAGGCAGGCCACTGTGTAGGACTGTGTCCTTGTACTCCACAGTCCTCATCTTGACTGGGGAGGCCTGGACGAGGTGGTGAGCTCAATTGCACTACGGTTGGGTTTCACATAAAAAGGAGATGGTGACAAACAGAAAATTCAGACTGAACAGGACAGGCTCATATAAAAAACTAGAACATAATACTCAAACCTGATGGTAGCCTTGCTGACTAACATTGAGGGGAAAATGTGACTACAATATGAGAACACTAAAGTTAGAAAAAAAAAAAACAAGTTTGAAATGGGATGGCTTAAGTGTGGGACAATAGTACAATGCAAAAATAGTAAATACTATTTTAGCATTATAATTATAACAGCAAATAATATCATATTACAGGAGATAAAAAGCATTTTATGATTCATTTAGTCATGAAAAATCCTGCCAGGATTTTGAAGAGATATTTGCATATACATGCTTGTTGCAGCAGTATTCAGAATTGCCTAGAAGTGGAGATAATCCACCTGCCTATGGAAAGATAATAAAGAAAATTAAATCTAGCCAAACAATGGAAACACACAGTTTTAAAAATAAAGGAAATTATGTTACATGCTTTAGCATGGATGAACCTCAAGGAGAGTAGGCTAATTGTATAGTGGGTTTCGAGTTTTAATTCTGCATCATGAAAATGTTATGGTGATCTGCTGCATGATGATATAAGTACACTTAGCACCACTGAATGATACACTCAAAACTGGCTATGTGGTAAATTTAGTGGTATGTGTTTCTTACCACAGTAAGAAAAAAAATACTGTCAGACAAATACAGTAAGCATCTTCCTTCTCAGAGGTTCTCAGGGGGAAGTAAGAGTTAGAAAATATTTTGATTCTAGCAATGTAAAGTTATTGTCTCATGTATTAGATTCTTGACAAACTAAATTTTAAAAGCTCTGGGGAATATGATGTTCAGAAGACTATTACCAGACATACTTACAATGTTAGATGAAGTCTATGGAGTTAAAAAATATTTAAACAAAGCTGCAGAATGACAATTATGTTCTGAACAACAACCAAAAGGGGAAGTGGTGCTCAAGTGCAGGGCTAGCAGCTACACAGATGAATTGATAGTGGTTAAATAGTGGACTGAGACAAGAAGAGAGACTGCAGAGACTCATCATATTTTCCTTGAAATAGAACCCATTCCAGTTTACTTCGGTGAGTGTGGTGAGGAGAGACTATCACTATAAATCCCACCTAGTCCCCAAATTGTAAAGTTATTTTAGGAAATAAATCCAGGGCCTTTAAGGAAGATATGAAAGGATACCAATATAATTTAGAGACTGAATAAAACCTCAACAAAACTGAAGAGTAAAAAAAAAATGATCAGGAATGTTAGTATAACTCAGGGCAGAAAGACCACTTCATGATAGTAGCAACTTCTAAAATGAATCCAGAAGGAAGCAGAAATTCAGAGGTTATATTCTAAAATCCATATAGCACACCAATCATCATTTCTTAGGAAGGGCGTAATCTGCTCATTTCTGCTTGTTTTTTTTTTTTTTTTTGTTGGCATTTTAGGAGATGACTGAAGCACTCCTTAGCTTAAGCTAGAAGGGACTCATACAGAAGAAGGTGCATTTCCTCAAGTTCAACTTGAAGCTGTTGCTAAGAGTGGGGTCTTTTCTTAGCTTCAAAAGGAGCCCCAAGAGCTGTCAAACTGAAGGAAAAGGGGAAAAACAACGGTACCACATGTGAATATAAAAAAGAAGAGAACTCTAGCCAATTGCACCACCACCGGATGGCAGAGCCCAGCTGACACAACCTGGTTTAGGGAGCTTTGGGTTTACTCCTTTTACTTCAGGAAAGCCTCAACTGTAAGTATTCTCTGAATTTTTTTTTTAAGCCACATACATGAGTCTTTGTTTTAGTCAAAACTTGATTATCTGAATGTTCAAAGTGAAACTCGGTGCATGCTGGCAATTCTATTCTCTTATCAGCAAATTTTTGCTTTTTAGAGCCACTGAGTAAACTGCTTGGATGACACCTTTTCTTTTCAAACAAGGCTCTCTTTTTGGATAGAATATCTGATAACAACACTTACATAGTGTATGTGGCCTTGTGCAGTGTCACAATGATTTGCAGCTGTACTTGAATCAGTTTTAAGTTATTTTCAGACATTGTAAATTTAATTGTAATATACCACAACTATCTGTGATCTAGGATCTCTTGATTTCACTAAGCTATATTGTCTCCCCATCTTAAATATTTATTATTATATTCTTACTATCTCATGGGATAGACAATCAAAATTTAAGTTTTGTGTTTTGGAACTAAAGAAAGGGAATACTCAAGAAAAGAAAGAGAAACTACAATGTACTTTTAAAAAAATAATGAAAAGTGAACCGTTAAGCTTATGACAAAACTAGATATAGTACTAGTATCATTATTTCCAAAGTAACATGTTTTCAATTGTTCTATATGCAGCAGTTACTGCAACTTCTGAAGTATGGCCTGAATAGATTCAGTCATTATTATCAATCCATTATCAAATAGGTATGTATTTCAACATATGATATTGAAAGAAACGACACTCAAATTGCATTTTAAAAGCTATCTTCTTGGCTGTAGCCACTGAAGAAAAACTGGGAGCGGTAGGATGGTGGTACTGGGGGCTATAAGTGCTCACACAGGGATGCCAACATAGGAATGGGATTTGCTGAGAAACAAAAACACTATCTGCTATTAGAAAATAAATGTGGTCCCATTTATTGATTGTTGCTCTTAGAGCCTGTGCTGTTGGTGTTCTGTTCAGGAAGTTGTCTCCTGTGCCAATGAGTTCTAGGCTGTTTCCCACTTTTTTTTCCAGCTGATGTAGAGTATCTGGTTTTATGTTGAGGTCCTTGATCCACTTGGACTTTAGTTTTGTGCAGGGTGATAAATATGGGTCTATTGAAAGGATAGGAGCTCTACAAGGACCAAATATATCTGGGCACAGGGTCTTTTCTGAGACTGAAACTCAACCAAGGACCATCTATGGATATAACCTAGAACTTCTGCTCGGATGTGGCCTGTGGTAGCTCAGTAACCAAGTAGTTTTCCAAAGTAAGGGGGACACGGACTATTTCTAACAGGATCTCAAGGGCAGGCTGTTTGACACCTCCCCCCAGGGGAGGAGCAGTCTGTTAGGCCACAGAGGAGGACTTTGCAGCCAGCCCTGAAGATACCTGATAAAACAGGGACAGATGAAATGGGAGGAGGTCCTCCCCTATCAGGGGACTTGGAAAGGGGCAGGGAGGAGACCAGGGAGGGAGTGTGGGGTTGGGGAGGGAATGAGGGAGCGGGATACAGCTGGGACACGGAGTTAAGAAAATGTAACTAAAAAGAAAAAATAAAAAAAAAAAAATAAAAAAAAAAAAAAAAAAAAAAAAAAAAAAAAAAAAAAAAAAAAAAA